TGCTAGGGCTGCCATAATAAAATACCACAGACTGGCTTAAAGAACAGACCTTTGGGACTTCCCTTATGGTTCAGTGGTTAAGGCTCAATGCTCCCAATGCAGGGGGCCCGGGTTTAATCCCTGGTCAGGGAACTAGATCCCACATGCCGCAACTAAAATATCCCGCGTGCCTCAATGAAGATCCCGCACATGGAAACGAAGATCTCACATGCCCCAACTGAGACCTGGCACAGCCAAATGAATTTTTAAAATAAATAAATAAATATTAAAAAAAAAAAAGAACAGATATTTACTTTCTCACAGTTCTAGATCACAGAGAGCAGTCTGCTTCTGTCTGAGGCCTCTCTCCTTGGCTTGCAGACGGCCACCTTCTCGCTGAATCCTCACATGGCCTGTCCTCTGTGCACGTGCACTCCTGTTATCTCTGTGCACCCAAATTTCCTCTTTTTATAAGGACACCATTCAAATTGCATTAGGATCCACCTTAATGGCTACATTTTAATTTAATCACCTCTTTAAAGACCTTATCTTGAAATCCACTTCCATTCTGAGTTACAGTACTAGGGGTTGGGACTTTAACGTATGGATACTGGGAGAGCATAGTTCAGCCCATAACAGGGACTGTGACTCAAACCCAAGCTGCATGGCTCCCAAGCCAAAATCTTAACCATTTAGCTATCCTGGGAAATGAATCTTACAACTTCAGGGGAGGAAAACCACCAGCATTTTTAGACTTACTCACCATCACAGCCAATCATGCAGTGTTTCCACTGATCTGTGATCTCCCTGCATGTGATAGAATGAAGTCCTGAGCTCATACCAATAATATTTACTGCTTTATTATTTACCCCATCATTTACAAGCAGCTGGCCTTAGAAGAGGACTCAGCTATGATGCCAGCTGGGGAATAACATATTTCTGTTTTGGGGTGTTGCTTATTCAGCTCTCACTCGTATCTTCGTTTATTTACTCAACAAATATTTACTGAGTGCTTGCTATAATTTGGGCATTTTTCTAAGCACTTTAGAAATATCATTTAATTTAATCCTCATAATACATGAAGGTATTATCATTATTCTTATCTTACAGATGAGAAACCAAGGCTCAAAGAGGTTAAGCAACTTGCCAATCACCTAAGAGGTGGTGACAAGGCTTGAGGAAGGCAACTCGAGGGCAGCCTCACTCCAGACCCTTTGCCTATACTTCAGATTTCTCTTCCTTGCCAGCTGTTAAAGTTTCTGAAGGTTGATAATTACCTCTGACTTTTCCTTTTTTTAAAATGAGAGTAATTATTACAGTTATTAGTCACTTAGCAAAGATCTGTTTTTCCTCTACTATTATATATAATGTGAAATAGTTGCAATTAGAGTTCCTATTTAATCCTTATGTTTCAGAACAGTAAATAAATCTGTGAGTTTTCTGGTTCAAATTTGTGATCTAGCAGCTAAGACTTCACCTTTGAAATAATAGAAAAGATTTTTAAAGCCAGAAAGGATGCAATTAAAACAGTGCTTTGAAAGCATGGGGGGACAGACGAGGCATTTTGAGGAATTTCAGGAAGATAGAATACAGATAGGATAGGGTCAATGGAGAAAGCAGAGTAGAAGAAAACAGCCTAAGAGAACAGAGATGAGCACAGCTCTTTCCATGAGAGCGCCTAAGACGCTAAAGTCATACCAGCAAGTGTGAAGAGCAGCTGTGCTCAAGGTATTTATTCAATAACTATATTCAGACCGTCTATATTGGGGACCACCGCTACTCCTTACCTAGGGCCCTCAATGATCTCGAGTTAAAATCTGAGAAGTGTTCTTGAAAGAAAGAGGGGGGTGGGCTGGGTGAGACTCCTAGTAAGCGTGTAAAGAGAATCAGAACACTCTTGGGGGTGGATGTGGCTCTTGCAGCAGCCAAGGCTGGGGGATGGGGTAGAGGAGAGAAATCAAGGCAGCTCTACCAAGGCCTGAGTGAGACGCACTAAGCACTAGCTCTCAGAGGCTCATGGGAGCCCTCCTTACACTGACACCACTGCCTGCTTCTGTGTGTGTGCGTGTGTGTGTTAGAGTGACGTCTGAATAGGATCAAAATGGGGCTATGGGAGAAATGAACATTATTAGGAGGTTGTGGCTTTTGAGACCAACCTGCAACTTTGGTAGCTCTGGATGCAGACATGACTTTGGATTGCATCACTATTGGGAGGCCATGGGTGGGACCGTAATTGCATGCACACTCTTCGGATAGTATCAGGCTGGGATATCTCTAGCCCTGTAGGTGTGGGAGATTTTTTTAATTGCTCAGTGCTTTTTTCTTTTTTTAATGATTATCGGACTCTTGGCTTGAAGGTTTCAAAATATTTTTCAAAGCTTCCAGTTTTCTAAAACGGGTTTAGGAGAAAATTAAAAAGAACTAACCTTAAGGTGCTCATTAATGACAGTTTTGTTTTTCAGATCCAGAGACAACAAAACCTATACCGAATCTAAACCTTCAAAACAGAGAAAAAAAAAAAAAAGATGTGGGGAAGATGTCAGATTGACCTCCTTTCTTTTCTGTTAACCTCTCCCCCTGGAGAGCCCTTCTCAAGAGACCTGAGAAAGAGAAAAGCAACCCCCTGAAGCAGGCAACTGGTCTGGCACTGTCAGCCAGGTCTCGGTCTCCTCCTGGTGAGCACAAAAATTTCACAGCACATCCACTTCAGGCAAGGCCACTCTGTGAGCATGATGGATCAAGACAAAAGATAGGACCACTCTACAATCATGTCTGAACACAGACAAAACATGAACATTGTCCAAACCACAAAAATGACCAAACATTCTCCACCTATCTAAATTAGCGTCAAGACACTCAACTGTAGAATTATTAACCCTACTTGCTGATAGCATCCAATTTAGAGTAAAGCCCCACCTTCTTCAGCCCTCTTTAAAATCACCTAACACAAGCCCAATCCTTTCTAGTAAGTCTTTTCTAACCTTTCTGACAGCTTCTTAGCGAGACACCCCACAGTTCTCCATGGAGTGTGTACTCCCTCCCTAAAAACGTAATAAAACCAACTTGTTCAGCAATAGATGTGTTCCTGGTGGTGTCGTGGTTGGAGGATTTTGACAGGTCTTAGGAATGTCAAGTTTCTCTCTGCACTTTTATTATTACTTGTCTCAGATCATCAAAGAGCAGCTCCCCTGGACTAAGTTTCCTGGTCCAGGCAGTAATTGCCAAGGTTTGCCAAGCTCTTAGGACGTGCCAGGAGCTTTATATGAATGAACTCCTTTTATACTCACAATGGCCCTACGAGTTGAGAGGCTTAGTACCCCGTTTATAGATGAGGAAACTGAGGTACAAAGGTTACACACAACTAAGTGGCTGAGCCAGGAGTCCAGGACAGCCAGTTGAGCCAGTGCTGGGGCTCCAACGTCCACACCATGCTGCTTCCCGCTGTACAGAATCACTGCTGTACAGTCACTGGTCACTGTGCCATCAGCCTGCACTGAAGGGCACTATAATAAACAGCCCCAGGATATCACTGCTAGGTTTCCTGTAAGATGTGGAAGAATGCAGACGCACAGGAAAAAAGAAATCTCCTTAATCACAGCACCAGAAATAACTGAGTTTCTTTTAAGTAACTGGATTTTTTTTCACCTAATGAAGACAGTAATTGTATAATTCAGAGATTTCAACCTAATTTAAGACAGGGATGGGATGATTTTAGACTGAATAAACCTAAGCAAGAAAGACAATTCTCTTTGAGTTTTACTAATGTGGTCAAGAGAGCATTCCTGCTTGGTAGTAAGAGGACTAGCTTTTTTTTTTGGCCGCATCACGAGGCATGGGGGATCTCAGTTCCCTCATCGGGGATGGAACAGAGCCCCCTGCAGTGGAAGCCCAGAGTCTTAACCACTGGACCACCAGGAAAGTCCCAGGACTAGCATTTCTTTATTTTCCCAGAAAGAGGGAGGTTGAGGCACAGAGGCTTGGAAGGTAATAATTAATATCTAGCAAGATCTCAATAACTTAGCTTCATTTTATTCTATTGATTTTTGGTAATTACCTTCCATTTATAGCCTACTACACTGATTTTCCATTTACAAGTGATACAAAGATTTCTTTAAAAATTATCTCAGTAAAAATTTGAGTTCGTTTAAGGAAAAATGTTAAGTTAATAGTGGTACAGGTGGTAGGAGACCAAACAAGGAAACAAAAATCATGAAGGTGCTTTGGGAAACGCTGACTTCAGTTGCCTCTTTGCCTTGGGTGCTGGCAAGTCGGAGTTTACTTCATGAGTCATTGATGTCAAGGGTACAGTTCCCTACTCCATGAATTTCTCCGTCTGGCCTAAACCTAGCTTTATCTTGTCTCCCCCTCACTGTCCCCTCTGCCCTCTTGTCTTGCCACCCTACTTCCTTTCAGAAAAAATAGTGTGTTGGGGGGCGAGACATAATAAAGACTGTCTCTTTGCTTTAATAACACCTGGTCCAAACCGTGGAAGTGACCCGGGCTACCCGTCTGCTAAGGGAGGGGCAGGGAGCTCTGGGAAAGCCCAGGGTGCCTCGTTTCCTCCAGTCCGGGAAAGTTTTAATTCTTCAAACTGGGCTGGAACCTTATTTCTAAACCTGCCTGCGCAGCAGATTCTCCGGCTCTCCTGCGTCCCATCTCAGAGTCACCGTGAGAGCCTGTTCCTGCAAGAAGTGTGAGTGAATTAAAGTACTTCAGTGGAAAAGTAAGGGAACCCCCCAGCCCCCGACGTCCCCCTCCCCCTTTCTGGCTATGCAGCCCCACGACCTTCAGTCCGCCTCCCTCTTTCCAATTCCTCGGAGCGGCGAGGTTCTCGAGGACCCCACGGAGGCCGGGCGGCGGGGGTCGAGGGCAGGGACGGAGAGAGCCCTCCCCACTCCCCGGGATTGGGAGGGGGATGGGCAAGCGCGGGAGAATAACGCCTGGGAGCCCGAGCAGCGCAGCCCCAGACTCCCCGGAAAGCCCGAAAAGCTGGGTGCAGAATCGCCTCTCTTTCAAGAGTTCTCAGGAAGTTTGGGGGAGGGGCGCTCCGCTCGCTCCAGTTCGCGGGAGGGTGAGGGAGGACGACGGCAGCGGCAGGTCTCGGAGCTGTGTCGCGTCCCGCCCTCGGGCGGGCTCGGGTGCTCCCGGCGGCGGGGTCTGCGGGGCGCGGGCAGAGCGCGCCGGGCGGCATGGAGGGACTGGTCCTGCTCAACGCCCTGGCCACCCGGCTGCTCTTCGTGCTGCACTCGCTGGTTGGAGTCTGGCGAGTGACCGAGGTGAAGAAGGAGCCGTGGTACTGGCTGCTGGCGCTGCTCAACCTCTTGCTTTTTCTGGAGACGGCGCTGACCCTCAAATTCAAGCGCGGCAGAGGCTACAAGTGGTGAGCGCACCCGGGGTGAGGGAGGGCACGCCGAGTCCCCGGGCGCTGTCCCCTGCGGCACTCTCAGGCGGCCCAAGAGCCCGTCTCCCCGACGATTCTTTACTGGGATGCGGAGGACCCCCTTTGTCCTCGCTGGGAGCATCGAAGGAGCGCGGGATGCTTGGGCGTCGCTTGGACACAACGGAGTGCCCCAGGGTCCCAGGGCAACCCGGGAGAGGGGAAGGCTCCAGTTGCAGCCACGCGCCACCCAACCCCAGGTCTAGCAACTTGAAAGATGGGAAAAAAGAAGGGAAGCGCTTGCATGCTCTGCAGAAAGTGCTCCAAAGTGGGAGAGTAGTGGGGCGACGGGGGTGTCATGTGCTCTGCGTTCTGAATTTGGGGTGTGGTTGTGCACGGCTTAGCCTGAGTGCATGCAGTTATGGGAATGCCCTTCGCCGGGCATCAGCGACTTGTGTAAGGGCTTGTGCACATCGGGCAACGCTGGGGGCAGCACTTCCCGGGGTGAGAAGCCACTCGCAGCACGTCTGTGGTTTCAGCCGCTTCGCCGCAAACCAGCCGCAGCATGGCACTAGCTTCAGGTGTCTTCCGGGCTTGGTTGCTTCCGAGAGCCTCGGTTAATGGTCAGCCCATCTTGTCACATGTGTCATTTCTTCCTTGTTGCAAACAGCCTGCTTAGTTTCACTTAGATTTGTTCTATATCACCTTAGGAAGTTACCTTAGATATAAATGTGTGATTTTGACATTGGTTTCACTTAACCCGCTTAGATTCATCTTAATTTGCTCTAACTTGTACTAAGATGGTACTTTTGAAATGAATGTGCATTTCTGAGCTTGTCTGCTCATATAAAGTTTATATAGCATTTACAACGTTAAAGAAAAAAAAAAAGATGGGTTACGACGCTGGTGAAGGTACTAGCAGGCAGCGGTTCAGCCCTCACCTCAACGTGCCAGACCGCAGACTCTTTAGTGATGTTTTATTTCCTCCCCAAAGACTTGGATGGCAATCAAAGAATTGAGAAAAAGATTCCCCGCCATTTACAAAGCGCCTCTACCTCTACGGCTCCACTCCCAGGAAATTTTCAGCCCAAACTTATCTGAGTTAGGCCTCTTTCTGTATTATTTTTTAAAACAATGAGTCTGTGTTTTCATGTGTGCCATATTTAAGAAAAATACCAACTGCTATGAGATAGAGGAAAATACTGTTAGCCAATTCAAAAATGGTATACATGATGGCATATTAAGAAAAAATAAAAGAAAAAACCCCTCTGGACAGTTTTACATATTAAACTACAAAAGGCTGTGTATTTCACTACAATCCAAGGGAGAGAATGCGTTGTCTCTTAAAATCATGTGAGTCTTGGCTTAAATTTTCCACTGTCGAAAAATTTCTAGAATTATCAATGAAGGAATTATTCAAGTAGAAACAATTTAAGACAACAAGGATTGGAGGAATGTCACTGCCCCTCCCCCCATTAACAGCTTATCAAGCAAGAGAGATCTGAGGAACTTTCCAGTATGCCTTTCGGAAATCTCAAAGAAAAATAGTATTAGTTCCCCAAATAAGCCTTAGGGTTAAAGAAACAAAAGGGAGAAAAGTGTTCACCCAGCAAGCAGATCACATGAGACTGATTTAGCTTTTACGGAGTAGCTTTAACATGCTAGGGTAAAAAATATCTTCAGTAACATGAGGATGAAATCTGAGGCTTAATGTTCCATGGAAAGTAGTCCTGCCACCAGCCATCATCAGAGCTTCTGGGAGACGTGTCAACCTCAGAAGAAGGAACAGCTCAACTGGCCCTGAAATATCCTCCTTCTTCTCCAAGAGTGAGGGCTTAGCTCACATTAAGTCAAAATTCCATGCCAGTTGTGTAGAAATACTGTAGGCAATGGAACCTTCATGTCCGTATCACCATTGACCACTGACTGACTCAGATTGACATGTAACTTAAAACTGAGAGAGGACAAAAGGATGGGCCAAAAACTGGTGATGGTCAATATGGCAAATTAAACAGGAAACTGGGGACATGTTTGTATATAGAGCATGGATTCAAAATCAGACAGATAATGGAGTAAAAATCGGGGCTTTCCTACTTACTTGCTGTGAGGCACTGAATAAGTTACGTAACCTTTTTGAGTCTCAGTTTCCTCATCTATAAATACTTATCTCATAGGTTGTTATGAATTAAATGAAATAATACATGTTGATGGTCAATGAATACAAAAGAAATGGTCTTTTCTAGATCCTAGAGTTTTTCTTATTTTTCTTCTTATTAAAAAATATTCTGTGTCCAGTGGACATATTTTCTGTCTGTAAAAGTCAAAAAACTTTACCTGAGAGACTGGCCAGTAAACCATTGGTTCAGAGCCAAAAAGCAGAAAATAATTTTCATCTTTATTTCAGAACAGGCTCATGATGTATATTGTATATTATAGCACTAACTGAAAAAAATTTTTGCTGGCTCAATATCAAGATTATATTTGAGAGTTAGCAAAAAAAATAAAAAATCCTTGATAGACTTGGCTATTATAAAATTTCAGGAACAAACGAGTCTTTGTAAAATGATCTAAACAGAAATGTGATAAGTAATTCTTTGTTCTACTGATGTTACCAAATAAAACCGAGTCTACAAATATCGTCATTTTCGTGATGGACAAAGGTCACATGCTGTTCTTTCATAAGTTTGAGAAAAAAATCAGAAAGTGGAATGCTAAAAAAATATAGAAAATTATCCCAGATATAACATGGTGACACTTAAAAAGGGTTTGATTTGGGACATACTTCATTTCTGGATTGAAGTTTTCTGAGTAAGGAAAAGCATAATTTTTTGTTGTTTTTGAACATTAAAAAAAGTTGTCATTAGAAAATCAAGGCTGATGGAATAAAAAAAAAGATAAAGTAAAAATGATGGCAGTGGGAAAATGTTCCTCTAAGTAGGAAAATGTTACTACAGAGATCTTTATGTAGATCTACATAATATAAAGATATATGTATCTTTTTCTTTTGGCTGAGTTGGGTCTTTGTTGCTGCGCATGGGCTTTCTCTAGTTGCGGCGAGCGGGGGCTACCCTTCGTTGCGGTGCGTGGCTTTCTCATTGCGGTGGCTTCTCTTGTTGCAGAGCACGGGCTCTTGCATGGGCTTCAGTAGTTGTAGCACATGGACTCAGTAGTTGCAGCATGCAGGCCCTAGAGTGCATGGGCTTCAGTAGTTGTGGAGTATGGGCTCTAGAGCACAGGCTCAGTAGTTGTGACACACGGGTTTAGCTGCTCCACGGCATGCGGGATCTTCTTGGACCAGGGATCAAACCAGTGTCCCCTGCATTGGCAGGCGGATTCTTAACCACTGTCCCACCAAGGAAGTCCCTGTATCTGTATCTTTCGATCCATTGGTCTTACATTTTGACTCTACCCTATAGAACCAAAAGTACCCATATGCAAAGACACACATACAAAAATACTAATTTTCATCTTGTTAGTGGAAAATAAAGCTAAAATCAACCTGATTATTCACCAATAGATTGGTTGAAAAATTGTAATATACCCATGCTATAGAATATTTTGCTGGTATTAAAAATAATGAGCTAGGGCTTCCCTGGTGGCGCAGTGGTTGGGAGTCCGCTTGCCGATGCGGGGGGCGCAGGTTTGTGCCCCGGTCCGGGGGGATCCCGCGTGCCGCGGAGCGGCTGGGCCTGTGGGCCATGGCCGCTGGGCCTGTGCGTCCAGGGCCTGTGCTCCGCAGCGGGAGAGGCCGCAGCAGTGAGAGGCCCGCGTACCACTAAAAAAATTAAAAAAAAAAATAATAATGAGCTAGATTTTATCTGTTGACTTTGAGGGATGTCCATGATATGTTGTCAGAAGGACAAAGTTACAGACTTATGTATATTATGCCCTCAAGTTTTAAACAAACTTGTCAAAGAACTACCCTTTGTATCAATTGAATACATTGTCTATTTACTAGTCAAGAAGAAGAAGGAGGGGGAGAGAAGGAGGTGGGGAGGCAGGAGAAGAGAATGAGAAGAAGAAGAAAGAGAAGAGAAAGAAGAAGAGTTGGAGGAAGAGGGACAACCCTCTCACACTGAAAATCAATCAATCAATCAAGGCCTGAACGGTGAACTAAACTCTGTTTACACATGAAGTGAAAATTTCTCTTCTGGAATATCGGATCCATGAAACTCCTTTAGACTGCTCTAGGCTAGTTTGAACATTGTTCTTTTTATTAAAATTTGCACCTGGCCCCAAATAAATCAAAGCTGTAGAAATCATGGTGCAATAAACAGAGCTAGAGAGGAAAATGTGAAAAAAATTTCTTGAAACGCAGCAAACATATTACACTTGTCCAAAGAATGTTTCTTTAGCTATTCTTTGGATAGGAAAAATGGAACTAGAGCTGCTGAGCTCAGCTGTCCAGGGACAGGCAACATTACATCAACACTAAGAACTTGCCAGTTGGAGGAGCTTAATTTGTTGGAATCCTATAGAATAAAGAGCGTAAGCCAACGACACGTTCCTTGTTAAGTCCAACAAATGTGTGCTGGTGGAATTTGGCCCTTTTCCCCTAGTATTTATTAATTTCATCTGCTCTTCACTTACTTTTCATTAAGATGAAAATTAGTATCACTGCTTTATTTTTTCTTGATTTTGTTTTCTGTTGTCTGGGCAACAATCCAAAGGGTCTGTGAATTACCATTTAGGTACAAACAGAAGATAAGATTTCCAGTTGCTTTCTAGCTAATACTGATAAAATATTCCTCAGGAAATAGAAAAACGATCAAGATTGTGACAAATTTGAAGCCTGTTCACTTAAAAGCAGGTGGTATCTGAGAATAAGTAGAAATCTAAGTTGAATTTATTGATAAAACTGTAGAATTGTAAGTACTGAGCTTTCTTCATCAAAATTTCAAGAATACAAGGTAAATATCATTGAGTTAATAAAACAGCTCACTTATATGGTCACCTTTCTGCATTGTCTCTTTCCCTTCTCTCTTTTTTTTTTAAAAATAAAT